AGTAAACCCTCAAGACCAAGAGTGCACCTATAGAGATTTTTAGCTCTGTGCTCATTGGTTGGTCTCCAGGTCAGCTGCCTGTCTGCATAAGTATGTCTAAGTGGTTCATTGGAATAATTCAAGAAACTTCGACACCTTTCTAGACCAAGCTTTAGCTTCCAGTACTTGCCTATGTTCAGCTTGCAATCAAACTGAACCCACTTCACTCAAAACCCGGCATTTGCACAAGTGCTAAGTATAATTTCATAGTAACTTGCACTTATTTGAAATAATTTGTCTTTCCTTGAAGCTTTGGATTTGTATTTGCTGGGCTAGTAGTTAGAAAAAATGTATCTTTTAGCTTGTAAAATGATCAAATTTGATCTGTAAGCTAGTGAGAGAGAATGACCTTGCAACAGTGCTTTTTTAAGAGGCACTTTTCTTAATAAAATCTCACTTTAAGAGGCAATAACATGAGACAAAGAGGGACAGTTAACTATTCAAGGTTAAATTTTCCTAGAAAGTCTTTTAATGTCTGATTGTAGCCAATTAACTGCACAGAACAAATAGAAACATTTACAAAGATGCATCCAGTCTGACTGAAATTGATAGATTTATATTACCTAATTATTCATCTGAACATAATGAATCTCAGTTGTTTAACTTCAAGAAAATGTGGAAAGAGGTTTACAAGTGTAAGAGATAACATGAGATGAGATCTCCCTTCTTATTATTTTGTATGTTCTTTCAAGGAAGAAAAATTAAAGCCACATGAAAACTTCTAAAATGCTATCAAATCCAGATTTTCCTGTATGCTAAACCATAAGCTTTTTTTCCCCACCAATCTCCTCAATTTCCTTGTTACTGTCTGTAGCATCTGATCCTCATAAGAATGAGAAGCCTATCACTTATCTGTTTGCATACAAAAAAAGCATTTTTTTCTTTTCCATTATTTTTAACGCCTATAAGGAAAAAAAAAAAAAAAAAAACAGAAGTTGGGGAAAATTTATTCAGGCTGCTTTGGTAGCATTTTGTTATTTAAGACATAAATCAAATCTGGAAGTTCTTCTTTCCTGAGGGACAAATAGTTTATCTGAATTTGAATGTGCTTGTGAATCAGTCATAGGGACAGTGCTTGTGCTTCTGCTGTGTAATAGCAATTATTTGCATTGTTTTCCACTGTTTTGCTCTGTAGCATTAAGGTAGTCAGGCTGCACACAGATGCAGAGTACATCTGCAGATTGCTGCAGGATCAGAACCATGGACCTCAGTCCTTCAGTTACATGCATGTTTATCAGTACACATTCCACTAACATCAGGAGAACTCTTCCAGCATGCAAATTTAAGCAATGCATGACTGGTTTGGGGGGCCTGGGCCCAGGATTGATTCCCAAGACAAAGTCCATTGAAGGATCAGAACTACAAGACTTGTTCACAGAGAAAAGCTTAGGAGGAGATAACTAAATCATTTTGTGAATTGGCCAGTAGTTCATACTACGTTGCCAGTTGGCTCTGTGGCTCTTAGTTAATATTTTAGCATTTATGACACTTCTGTACAGGTATAGTGAGCTGCAGCTTCAAGCCCTTTGAGATGGACAGTACATTCCTTGTGTCCAGAAATATCATGCTGCAGCAGCAGCTTTGAGAGTGGAAAGAGGTTTATTCCTTTAGTAATAACTGCTGAAGATATTTAAGGACACACAAAGGCAAGTGCTTTCCCAAGAGAGTACACAGTTATCTGTTTTGCAAAGACAATCCAGACTTACTTTTTATACTTCTGTGCCTGACAGTGTTAAGTGCTTTTATTCACACACAGCGAGTGATGACTTTTATCATATTATTAGAATTCTAAACTCTAGTTTAGAGTCTATAGTGCTTTTATTCACACACAGCAAGTGATGACTTTTATCATATTATTAGAATTCTAAACTCAGTTTCAGAGGTTTATAACTCAACAGTGGCTTAGACTCAGTAAATTCAGCCCAGGAGCACTATTTTTCAGTGGAAAAGACATCTTTAGTTACTCCACTATCAAGCAAAGCAGACCTTGCTTATTTCAGGCTTTTTTAAAGGTCTTAGATTACAAATAATAATTAAAAAAAAACCCTCTTGAAAAAATTAAATCCTCCAGAGTTTTATTCTGATGTTCTTTAGATTGCTAGCTTCCTTTGACATAATTGGAAAGAAAAAAGAAAAAAAAAAAGGCTCAGTGATAGGCATTTAAAATAAACTCCTGAGAACTCATAATGGACCATATTCTATATATTCCTGTGCAAATCTCACTGCCATCACTGGATGTGTTCTGTACACATCCTGTTTCTAAAATCCTGCATGCATAATCACCGTTAGCATTGTTACGGTATCTTCTATGGGTGGGTGCAACTCTGAATGCAGATTTGTGCTATCAGCCATAATGGTTTCCTCCTGAGAGAAATTCAGAAAGCTATTCATAAGCTGTTCTGGACTTTTAGGTAACTAATCCCATCTCACACATACGCTCTCCAGTACTTTTTGTTAAAGAAAATCAAGCACTCCTGGATACATATTTATATGACAGACACTGTTCCAGTCTATTGGATAAATTATATGCATTTTATAACATTCATTTACAGAGATATATATGTTTGTACATGTTATAGTAATGTATATATAAATAATGTTAAGCTTACGATAGAAGGTGACATAAGCCCAGAAAACATCAATGCCAGGTGTACTCAACTAGATGTTAGATGCTTTCCTGTCTTTCATGAAACTGTGTATGAAAGAGAAATTTTACTTTCAAATGCCTGGAAATGGTACATATGTATTACAGCCTGATAATTTTTTGAACATGAGATATTGCATATTTAATTAACACTACTTCTGTGTGCTTAGGTAATTACCATTAGAACACATGAGGACATGTACTTATTGCCTGTGCTAGAGCATAATGTACTGGACTACAACAACTACACTTGTTAAGCTGATTTTAGCATTTCTTCACACAGCAGGAAGCACCCATGCTGTGGTTTCTCAATGTACTCTTTAGCTACTGCACTGTAGAGTACTGTACAATAAAAATAATAATTAATTTTTATACTCATTTTACCAGTACTGCTGCTATGCTGGTGACCCTGCTTGCTATTTCAGGGTTCCAGTACGCTGAACCCTGAAACACCTATCTTTCATTTCAGAGTTTTATTTCTTATATGTTACTGCTGAACAGAGCTGAATTTTTTGAGGACACGTTTGTTACATAGATTGTGATGGCTTCACATTTGGTTCAGGTCCTCAGGGACCAGCACCAATAAATGTGAGAGAGACAACAGCAGAATGGCATACTTTCCCATTTCCACAAGGATGAAAAAAAAAATACTCTAAATTAAGTCTAACCTTAAATGTATAATCTGTCCTTGGGAGCAAAAGGAAAAAAAAAGATACAGCATCTTCAAGCTCTTGGCATCCCTTACGAGAAAAAAATTGGCTCTAAGGGTCTCTGATCTTGTGTTTTAGTAAAATAGAACTGCACGGCTGACTGACAGTTCTGATCTAAAGCATTTACGTTTAAGTTTTGATCTCTCTGCTTTTGATTAAAACTAATGAGCTCATTTAATTCAAAATGGGAATCTCTGATAAGAGAAATAAGGTTGATGTGATTGGATTAGAGGGGCAAATTAAACTCTTAGAGCAGAAGTTTGTGCTTATATAGTGTATTAAAAAGCTGTTGGCGTATTATGGCGTGTTAGATGATGAGAAAAATTTCATAGTAATTCATATTTAATCAGAAGAAATGAAAGTACTAAATATAACATGCCTCTGCTTTTCCCTCGAGTGATAAAGAGCTGTACATTTAAAATGACATCGAATTCATGCTGTCTAAAACACAAAAAAATCTTGAGAGACAGTAAAGAAAGGGGCACTGTTGTCAGTTATTTCATCACAATAGAGTTGAAATGTCACAAACACAAGACAATGTGACCACATTAAATCAAGGACAATTGGATGTAATCCTTAGCTCACAAACAAGTGCCTGTGTTTCTGTTGACTGCATAACATGCTTTTTTAATACTTGAATACTTTCTACTAGTAGTTTCTTCAAACAATAGCAGAATAAATAACTTTTTAAATTTAGTGTTAATTCCTCATTGAAACTGAAAGTTAGTCTCCAATACTGCTTGCTTGTTATAAGTTGCTCCAGAACTTTCCCATTAATAATGTTTTGGGGTGTATTTGATTATCAGGGCTGAAAATAGCGATAATAAAAATTGTATAGAGAATATCTCAGTGATGACTGGTGGTGTAGTCACGATTTTATCATGTTTTATGCTAAGAGTATTTGTTTACTATTTTAAATGGCTGCAGTTGAGGGAGTGAGAAGCACAGGTGAGCTTTTTAGTTTCAAGCTGCAAATATCTCTTCAATTGGACTGAAAAGGTATTTCCTTAGTGGCCATTTAGTCACCAATAATTAACAACTATGATGATTATGAAAATAATAATAAGTATAATAATAATGTGTCATGTCCGTGTTCATTTTTGCCGTCAGTCTACTCAGTACATTATTATTAATAATTAATACTTAGTAGTGGGGAAACAAAGGCATTCAGAACCAGTAGTGACTCACTGTAAGTATCACTGCAAGCAAAGAGTGGGGACAGGAATAAAAACCTGAAGAATTTTCAGCCTCTTACAGCAGACAGAACTGCTTCATCAGTGAGACTTTGCCTTTCACAAAGTACTGAGGAACTCCACAGTTCATGAAACAACGAATCATAACAAAATCGTGAAAGAAAGAGTTAATGAGACAAATCTCTGTTAAAAATTCTGTGGGAAAATAACTTGAAAATGAGACTGAGTATACATATATTTTTCAAATTTTTTTTGCTAAGTAAACATTTTCTAAATGAGGTAAATTGATTACAACACTCTTAGCATCCATCAGTCATTTATTTTTAGTGAGTTCAAGGATTGCACCTGAAAAATAGCTTAGAGGGGATGTATAAAATCTAAATTATGTGTATATGTATTTTTTCTGTTCCCTAGTGGAATCTACAAGCCCCAGTTTACTAACCACTGACAACACTCTAGAGCGCTCCTTTTTCATCCGAATGAAATCTACACTGACCAAGCGAGGAGTGCACATCAAATCGTCAGGATACAAGGTAAGGGTTGCACTGTAGCATGAAATACTGACATCTTTAAGTTATGTTGATCCATGTTTCAGGGACACGTTAGTAGACAAAGAAAGCAGCTTTCATGTTTTCAAATGTTTCATTCTTTTTGTTAAAGAATCATGAATACAATATTTCCAGCCTGAGGTGCTACACCTCCGTTAAATTGATGACTTACAGTCAACATTGATGATGACGACACGATAGCCTTCAAAAGAGCAACACATTTAGAGTAAAGTTATATTTTACCAAAAAGGGTGAGTCACAGTAACATCACTTTTCCATAGTGGAAAATTACTGCTCCTTTTGTTAGACTGCTAGTTGTCTTAGGGTTATGTTTTTTTCCCAGAGAGGTAGGATTTCTTTGTGCGGACAGTATGCTAGAGCTATTTAATTTTGCTCCTGTTCTGGCTGAAGGAAACAACAAGCCACAATGAGTGCTTTTCCACCATTTTTCTCTCACTGTCTGTCTGAGGGGCATCTGCTGCTGGGGATCATATTTGCTGGATTTCAGACTTTTAAGATATGAAAGTCTCTTATTCCTTATCAGCAGTAATCTCATTTTTCTTCAGTCATATATTGCTCATAGTGCCTGCAGCTATCAATGGTTTTTCAGTATACTAAAACCAGAAGGAATAGCACATTTTTAACACTGTCAACTTGTGCAATGAAATATGTCATCCATTAAGTACTATACAAGATACAAGAGTGGTGCAAGAAAGCGAGTCTGCAAATGTGTGTGCATTTAAAGAAGCTGTTTGTCAATGTTCATTTAAAAACTTTCAAAAACATTTTATTTTCTTTCTTCAGTTTTTTGAAGAAGATTTGGTGCAGCTTTGTAGTAAAATTCTCCAATTCACTTATCCCAAAAAATTCTCTGTGAATATAACATTGAGGTAGTCTACCCGAGAGTTAAAATCTGGTAGAAACGTCTTCTTTGCAAACAAACTGGGAGGACTGGGAGTCCTTCTGGTGCATAGTTTATGGGGCAAGATAATGAAAATTGTTCCTAATGGAAGTTTAGGTCTAAATCAGTAGTTTCTTAAAGTACCACAAACTTTGATCTATGTACTGCTTAATTATCAACACCTGAAAGAATGCACTTGGAACTTGTTCATGCTCACCAGTTTTCAGGTCTCAGAAGGTATCAAGACAAGGAATTGTACTGGCAGTCTCAAGAGGAGGAAGGCAAATGAATGAATGGGCAGTTCCCTGAAATAGTACAGTTTCATGATCATGTGTAGTCCATCCAGGGTAGACCAAAGTTAGATTGGCAGAGAACTTGCTTTTCTGGATATTTTCACTGCAATTATAATGGGACAAAATAGATAATTTGTCTGTGGATTTTGTAGTCTGACATTTTTTGTCAGATGAAGGTGAGAACAAAAGGAGGCCATGTGAGTGACTTTGTCATTCTCTCTTCTTGGACTACAGATACCTAGTGTTAGTCCAGCACCAGAATAGAACATAGCTAAAATGGGCTGGCTTCATGAGGTAGTTTTTTCACTCCTTAGAGTACAGTTTTTGAAATTCACAGTAGACCCTTCATTCAAAAGAAGGCCACAGTGATGTCTATTATATACATATAATTTCATTTCTCTTTTAGACTTGCTGATGCCTCATGGAAACACTGAAATCCATAACTGAGATGTCACAGAGCAGAATGAATTTTGAAAGATTAGATATATATTTTTAGCCAGCTTTTCCTTGACACAAAGAATAGATTATTTTTTTTTAAAAAGTATGATAGTCAACAAAACTGTCAGTAAATAAAACATTTGTTTCTTTCTAAATTTTTTCATGAGACATCAGCAAATCAGCATGAGTAAAATTGCATAAACAGTGCACAAGTCCTAGGCATGTGTAAATATAGAGGCGTAGTTCTTCTGCTTTTTTATGTTTTCAAGGATTTTGTAATTGAGAGTGTTTGGCTGAATTCAGCTGTGTCCAGCCATATGAATTGTACTTTGTCAGTTTTTCAAAAGCGTGGTTATTGGCACTCTATGTTCTATGGAAGGATAATTATCCACAGCCTCAATGAGCCCCAGAAAAATTGTGTATTCATTTTGCAAGAGTTGGATCACGTGAATGTCTTTTTAACCAAGTGTTAAGAACTGCTTTGTTTAAGCATCATTCTCAGTTGGTGTATTCGACAAGCATAATACAACTCAACTTCTATAGTGAATGGCACTCACAGTTTTAGGAATGTTACTAATAATTGATTTCTAGAAATCCAGTGCCAGAAAAAAACTTCTTGAATTTGTTCAGGTATATATTTTAGCAAAATTAAGAAAGATCCATGATACTTACAGATGTACAACTCAAATAAATTATCAAAGGGAAGAATAGTTACATAATACTGACAAAGGTCATGGGAATAGCTGGCCAAGTTCTGCATCAGAGGTCCCTGGAAGGCCTCCAGCACTTACCCAGGAAACACCATACCATCTGGGGTAATGTGCAGTGGAGTTCCCACAGGAAATCCAAGTAGAGCAGGCTGACTCTGGAACCACTGTCTCACACCTTCAGAATACAATAGAGCACTGAATTTTCTCTCTGCCAAAAGCAAGAGCTCCTGGCTGACAGCTTCCCTTGAGCTCTTATGTCATTGTGGGTGGATAATCCTCCTGAAGCAGCATACAAACATTCATCAAGAAGAGTGGTGGTGGGAACTCCGTATCTTTTGTCAGTCAGGTTTAACTCTGTCAAAGGTACTCAGCTGCTCATGGATTCAGTACTCTACCCGTGATGACATTTTTCATCTTTGTGATGTGGTTGTGTCTTGTTTCAAACTCTTACTGAGCTCAGAACCACGTCTTCATATTTTCCCTCCTTTGCACGCTGCTGATGAATGTTTTTCTGTATAGCAAATGATTGAGGTGGTCCACAAAATGCTTAGCCAATTTTCAGAATGAGTGATCCCTGCCTCAGGAAAATCACATAAAATTGAATACAGTCAGAGAATGAGACTGATTAATCATTTGGGTTGATCTAGTCAGGACTAATTTTCTGTCAAAAGAAATGTAGGAACAAAACCCACACTGATGGACTTGCATATATGTATACCTCAAAGAGGCTCTGTTCCAGACCATTCTGACATGACATGAACTGTGTTTATAGTCCCTTCCTGGGCTGATTTAATTAGTTCTGAATTATACCTAAAGATGGAGGTAATGGCCTTTTTTCCATGAATGATATTGCCTTGAAAGTCTGAAATGGGAAGGTGGTTACATGATTAATCCTAACTCTCTCCTTCCATTTCATTGTTTCCCAGCACCCTCCTTTAATCTGATTTTCCCTATTCATAATAGTCTTATGCTCAGAGCTTGTAGGAAAAGAGTTTACATACAGTGCTAGGGAACTATTCAGTTTTCAGTGAGTAAATCTATAATCTTAAAAAAAGTCAAATAAAATGTAGTCAGCTGATAAAAAACATTACAAACAAATAACAAGGAAAAAAATGGTAATTCCATTCATTGCAAGACTCAGAATGTATTACCATTACAGCTGCTGCCTAAGATACATAATGCAGAGACTTACTGTTATTCTGTCCTAAAAATATATCAAATCTTACTTTTAAAATTTTTTTTCATCAATAAAATATAGTTTTTAACTTCATTTGGATTTTTGTTGTCTCCCTTCTGTCTCCCTTTTTGAGGGTTACAATTCTGCCCACTTAGTTGTCCCACCTTCAATGTTTTAATTGTCGTACTTTCTCAGATGTATCAAAGGTAATTTTAATCAAATTCTACTTTGTTCAAGTCCCGCGATACATTTCCTGCTACCCTGTATCATGCTGTTACTGTTTTGTCACATTTACTTTCATGTTAGGTTGTGCTAGGATTTTTTGTTCAGACTTTTAGGGGTTGACACTGGTCTCTTGAACAAAGCATGATTAATGGGATGAAGAAGTAGTCAAAGTATCAAACATCATCAGAGCCAGCAGTTGATGGTAGTTTCAGCTCGTTAGCTCATTAGGCATGTTAGGAAATATCTATGCATATTCCTCTGCTGTTTTATGTAGTTGCCCTCTCATGATAAGCTATTACAGAGTTGGATAAACAAACATGAGGAGATTCCCTTGTACTTTCATCATCACTGTGGCAATCTCTGAATTTGGTATAACCAACATCTCTTGTCTCTTGCAGTCAACCTTCTTGGTGATCCATCAGCACAGTTAAGGACATCTTAAGTAATCTGTCAGGCTCTACCTCCCTACCTGGAGCAGAACTTTCTGTCTGCTGTGCTACCTAGGTGCTTGCTTAGGCTTATTCGGTGTCAAAAAGAAATAGTCTCCATGTCATTAAAACATCAAAGTCATTGAGGTCAGAAGGCAACAAGTGCCACAAAAATTATCAGAAGGCTGGAGCCACCTCCCTTATGCAGACAGGCTGAAGGAGTTGGGGTGGTTCAGCCTGAAAAAGAGAAGACTCTGGGGGAACCCTATAGTGGCCTTCCAATACTAGAATGGGGTGTATAGGAAGGCTGGGGAAGAGCTGTTCATAAGGGCATGTAATGAAAGGACAAGTGGTAATGGTTTTAAGCTAGAAAAGGGTAGATTTAGATTGGGCATTAGGAAAAAGTTATTTAATATGAGAGTGGTGGATCACTGGAATGGGTTGCCTAAAGAGGTAGTGGGAGCCCCATCCCTGGAGACATTCAAGGTCAGACTTTGTGGGGCTCTGAGCAATCTGTTCTAGTGTGAGATGTCCCTGCTTATTGTAGGGTGTTGGACTAGAAGGCCTTTATAGGTCCCATCCAAACCAAAACATTGTCTGATTCTATAATTCTGTGAGTCACTGCAGACTCTTCAGCAACTGGAAGTAAATATAGGAGCTATCGTGCGCTGAGCAAAATGTTACTTTCAACCTAGACTTCTGAGGCCATATTATTGAGAAAAGAAATATTTGCTAGGTTACTCAGGTATTTCTGCTTTGAAGTGAAACCTTGGTGTCTTTGGAAAGTGCCTTGAGATTATGGAAAAGCACATA